CTCTGAGCTCCACCTTACTGAGAGCTCCATCTGCTCCGAGCTCCAGCTTGCTTGGAGTTCCAATCATTCTGAGCTCTCTCTTGCTCTGAGTACCATCTGCTTGGAACTCCGTCTTACCCTGAGCAACATCTGCTATGAGTTCCATGTTGCTCAAAGCTCCATCTTCTCCAAGATCCATCTTGCTCAGAGCTGTATCTAAAATCAAGCAATATTTGCACCAAAGTCCCATCTTGCTTAGAGCTCCTTATTGCTCAGTCTTCCATCTGCTCTGAGGACCATCTTGTTCAGAGATCCATCTTGCTCAGAGCTCCAACTGCTCAAAGCAATGTTCGGAGTTCCAGTGAGTCCAAGCTTTATCTTGCTCTGAGCTCCATCTTACACAGAGAAACATCGGCTCCAAGCTCCACCTTGCTTGGAGCTCCTTCTTGTCTGAACTCTGTCTTCTCTGAGTTCCAATCACCCCATGCTCCATCTTGCTTTGAACTCCATCTGCTCAGAGCTCCATCTGCACCAAGCTCCATTTTGCTCGGACCTCCAATCACTCTAACCTCCATCTCGCTCTGAGCACCATCTGCTTGGAGCTCCAATCACTCCGAGCTCCATCTTGCTCTGAGCACCATCTGCTCTGAGCTCCATCTTGCTCTGAGACCATATGCTTGGAGCTCCATCTTACTCTGACAACATCTGCTCCTAGCTTCATATTGCTCAGAGCTCCATCTCTCCTCTGGAGCTCCATCTGCTCTGAGCTCCAACATGCTTGGAACTCATCTTGCTCAGAGGTCCATCTTGCTGTGAGCACCATCTGCTCCATGTGTTTACTGCAGCACTATTCACAATAGGAAAGACATGGAACCAATCTATATGTCCATCAGTGATAGACTGGAAAAAGAAAATGTGCTACATATACACCATGGAATACTGTGCAGCCATGAAAAGGTATAAGATCAAGTCCTCTGCAGAGACATGGATGAAGCTGGAAGCCATGACCCTCAGCAAACTAACACAGGAACAGAAAACCAAACACTGCATATTCTCACTCATAAGTGGGAGCTGAACAATAAGAACACATTTTACTACTATTACATCCTCTGAAGATGGTCTGTTTCTCTTAACAAAGGATATCTATACTTTGTAATTTTTTTCTCTCTCTAAAGAATTGTGGCTTCTCCTGTCTGTGCCATTTTAGGGTACAGGCTGACTACCTCACCTTGAAATGACCCACCCCATGTCCACACATGGTTGGTCCCTCCTATAAACTGTTTGTTACCACCCGTGGGTCCATTTGAGGGGAGGTGACCTCACAGAGTACTGCACCAGGAAAATCACCAACTGAAAGAATTGCTGAAACAATGTGTGTGTCTGGTTATTTCAAAGAATAAATATAAGTCAGTTGAAGGTGATAAAGTCGGTAACATCTTGAGGTGATAAAATGTCAGTAACATCTTAGATGACCAAGACTAATCCTGTGGGGCCCAAGAACATATTACAATATGGATTATCCCAGCAAAAGTATCACCCATTAGACAACAGCAAAAGACCCTCAGGCTCAAATGTTAAATGTCCTCTCTTGATGTGTGAAAGCACACGACCAACAGGAGGCAAAAACATCAGGGAGACAAAGGTTTTGCTGCATATCTGTGGGCTTCAGTCTCCAGTGAGATACTCAGAGCCTACATCTCCTCTGTTACCACTGCTGCTTTTATTGTACAGCACATTTCCATATATGTTTAATTCTATTTTTTGAATTCCATACTTCATTGTTCTCTCAGTCATGAATCAACATTTCACTTTCAATTTCCAAGTATTTACAATACATGAAAATAAAAGTTATTTTATTTTTTATTTTTTGAGATGGAGTCTCCCTCTGTCACCCAGGCTGGAGCGCAGCGGCACAACATCAGCTCACTGCAAGCTAGGCCTCCCAGGTTCACGCCATTCTCCTGCCTCAGCATCCCGAGTAGCTGAGACTACAGGCACCAGCCACCATGCCTGGCTAATTTTTTGTATTTTTAGTAGAGATAGGGTTTCACCGTGTTAGCCAGGATGGTCTCGATCTGACCTCGTGATCTAGGCTTGCCTTGGTCTCCCAAAGTGCTGGGATTACAAGCGTGAGCCACCGCGCCTGGCCTGAAAAGTTATTTTTTATATTCAGACTTTCATGGATATTTTTATTTATTCTTCTTTACAACGAATTTTCTAATCTCCAGAGCACAATCAGATAGTAGCTATATTGCAGTAAAGCTCAATTTATCAACTGATTAAATAATCATTGACCTCTTCATACTGTTAAATATACTTTTCTAAAATTGTGGGGTTTTTTAATTTGTACAAATCCATTTAATATTTTATACATTTTTACAGCAATTCTAATTTGGTTAAATTTTTAAAATATACTATGCTGTAGAATCCTGACAACGTCTTTTTACATCTATGATGATGAACACATGGCATTATCATCAACTCTATGAATGTGCTTAATAGTATTAGTGGATTCCCTAATGCTGAACCTCACTTGCACTCCTGCCACAAAGGATGTCTGGTCATGCTACAATATCCTAATGTGTTGATACAATGGCTTCTAATATTTGTAAATTGTACTTTTACATCCATATGTCCTATTTGTCTGTGGTATTCTGCGTGTCTCAATCCAGTTAATGATCTTATATCACCCTTATATATCCTTCCAAAATTTTGGGGGTAATGTTTAGCTGCTTTATAACTCTTACACAGTTTAAGTGACATTTGTTTACCTTTATTTTTTATTTTTTATTTTTTTTCAGATGGTGTCTTGCTCTGTCCCCCAGACTGGAGTGCAATGGCATGATCTCGGCTCACTGCAACCTCCGCCTCTGGGATTGAAGCTATTCTCCTGCCTCAGTCTCCCGAGTAGCTGGGATTACAGGCGCACACCACCACGCCTGGCTAATTTTTATATTTTTAGTAAAGACGGGGTTTCACCATGTGTACCAGGCTGGTCTCAAGCTCTGGACCTCAGGTGATCTGCCTGCCTCGGCCTCCCAAAGTGCCAGGATTACAGGCATGAGCCACCGTGCCTGGCCTACTGAAACTTTTTATACTGGAACTTACTTGTGTATTAGAGCGCTCTTTTGATAAATCTCTCTCTGATTTCTATTATTTCATTAACGTTTACCCCTGTTGAGATACAGATTCTAAACTGATGAACCACCTGACTGGTACTGTGTTCGTAATATCGTTAATCACAGTAAAAGTAGGTATTCTTTTAGAAAATCAAGGTTGAAAGCTTAAACACACACACACACACACACACACAGGGAACAAAATAAAACTTAACACCGATCCTCTCCATCCATTAATGGCATAAACACAGAAAGATAACCAAACAGACTAATTGAGGGAGCCAGATAATCAGACTAAAATTATATAGAGTAAACACATTTTTTAGAAACACACCAAAGGCACCCAGGTTGAGAAACTTGGATAGTCACATGCAAAGGACTAAAGAAAGACCCTTATGTTGCGCAAGACACAAACATCAACACAAAATAAACTGAACACCTAAGTCTAATCCTGAAACCAAAAAAAACTCCTAGGAAAAAACATAGGGTGAGTGTCTATTTTGGGGAAACCTGAATCTGTGCACACCAGTTGCAAAAAGAAAAAATTAAGGAGAATATAATGATAAATAATACGATAACTTCGCCATCTCTCTTATTTCCCAATGGGACACAGAAATCACTGCTAACAAAAGCAAATATAAACATGTTAGACAAAGGACAACTTTAAAATATCTAAACAAGGAGAAAACAATGAACCCAAAGAAAAGGCATCCTGCAGATTGGGATAAAATTATGGAAAATCATGTATCTGAAAGGAACTGTTATCTAACATACACAAGAAACTAAAGGTACTAAGTGGGCAAAAAGACAAAACAACTAAAAACTATATTTATCCAAACAATCTGCTACTGGAATAAAAATATAAAGGCTACCCAATGGACAGAATGAGGGAGTCCCATATGCCACCCAAATGTATATACAGGGAACACATTTTTCAAAATAACAAAAAAAGGCACAATGGGAAAAGGAAAGTCTGTTCAATAAATGATTTTGAGCAAACTGGATAACCACATGAAAAACAGTGAAATAGGACAAAAGTCAATGTAAATTACACTGAAGACCTAAACTAAATCTTGAAACCACTTACTTCTCTTAGGAAAACACAGAGTGAGAGTATACTTTAGAAGACTAATCTACGCACACAAGTTGCAAAATGTAAAATACAAAAAGAAAAATAAAAGAAAAATTAGAAGAAAAAAACCCATAGACAATGCCATGGTTTGGCAATCTTTTTCACTGTTTTTAATTGCACACAAAAGTCACCACTAATATATAAACATGTGGGACTACGGAAAACATTGGCTCTTATGTAGTGAAAAGGAAACAATGAACCAGAAGAGAAAGCATCTCACAGATTGAAAGAAAACTAGGGAAAATCCTATCTTTGAAAGGGGTCATTATAAAACATGTGTAAATAACAGTACCATGTGAGGGAAAAACAAAAACAAAACAAATACCCAAGTTAAGTCTGGGCAAATGACCTGAATAGATATGTCTGAAAAGTAGATGTGAAATTGACTCACAGGTAAAAGAAAAGCTTCTCTAAAGCTCTAATCCTCACAAGAATGTCAAGGAAAACCACACTGAGATACCACTTCCATCCACATAGAATGAATGTTACCGAAAACAAAAAAATAAATAAATGAATAAAAGTTTGAAAAGGAAACCACCAGTATAGACTTGCAGAAACTCTTCTCATACACTAATGGTAGGAATGTCTATTTGTACACAGACTAGGAAAAACAGCTGGAAGCTCCTCAAACAAAGTAAAAACACCATTTCATCTAGCCACCCACCACTGGCTGTACATTTACAGCCAATGAAATTCCTATGTGGAAGAGCTACCCGTCTTGCCCTGTATACTGTAGTACTCATAATAGCCAAGATAGGAAATACATCTACCTTTTCATCCATTGATGAAGGGATGAGGAAACTGCAATGTTCATCCAGAACGGAATATTCTTCAACCATAGAAATGGGTGAAATCTAGTCATTTGCAGCCATGTGGAAAAACCTGGGGGACATTATGTTAAATGAAATGAGCCAGGCAGAGAAAGGCATATACTGCATAATCTCATGCATATGGAATCTAAAACACACGCATGTGGAATCTAAAATAATTGACCTCATAGAAGTACAAAGTTCAACAGTGGTTACCAGAGGCTGGGGAGAAGAGGGGGCCTGGGCAGGGATTGGTGATGGGTACAAAGTTACACTTAGAAAACTGAGATCAATCTGGCCCTTCTCTTCTATAGCAGGGTGACTAGGGTTAATATTGTAGCGAATTTTTCAAATAGCTAGAAAGGATGCTGAATATCCTCTCCACAGACAAGTAACACTTAGAGGACTTCATAGATGCTAAATACTGTGATTTGATCAATATGCTAGGTGTACCTATATCAAAATGGCTCCTGCTAAAATTCACATGGAACCATGAAACATCCTGAATTTCTAAAACAATCCTGGAAATACAAAGCACATGGGATGCATCACTGTCCTCCATTTCAAAATATATTGAAAAGCTAGTTATCTAAACAATAGATGACTGGCATTAAGTAAGAAATCCAAACCAACAGACAGAATAAGGGAGTTCAATCACAAACCCAAATTCCTAGGTAGTGTACACATTTTGTAAAAGAATACCAAAAAAACACAATGAAGAAAGGGGAATCTGTTTAATAAATTGTTTTGAAAATTGGATATTCCTATGTAAAATAATAAAATAGGACCCCTGTTGTATAAAAGCCACAACAATCAACTGAAATGAATTAGAAACTCATACACAAAACTTGAAAGCATCAAGCTCCTCCAATGAGAAGACATATGGTGTGGGTATATTTAGGTCAGCGTGGATCTGTGTTCACAGTATGCCAAAACAAAACAAAAAATACAGGGGGAAAACTCATGAGTGAAGGATGAGTTTGGTTATAATTTGATTTTCTTCATCAGTCACCTACATCACAGGGAACCAAGAAAACAGACACATGTGGGACTCATCACACTCTAGAGTTTGTGCCCAAGCAGATTAAAAAAAAAAAAAAAAGAAAAGAAAAAAAATTCAAAATTATCCTGAAGTTTACAAGAAAGGTTTCAGCAAACACACATCTGAAAAAAGATTGTCTTCAAAATGTCTAAGCAACTAACATTACTTACTAGCAAAAACACAAAAGAGAAACTAATAACCAAATAAAATGGGGCAAAATAACCTGAATAGACATTTCTGCAAAGAAGACATAACATTGAAAACAAGTTTTTAAAACTTGGATAACATCACAAATGATGAGAAAGATGTAAATCAAAACAGCACACATATCATCTCACTATAATTCAAATGGATGTTACCAAAGCGATAAAATATATTAAAAGAGACAAAAATGCTGGTGTAAATTTCCAGAAAGGAACTCATTTGATAAGAATGTTAATTAGTGTACATACTACAGAAACCAGTGGGAGGTTCCTCCAAAAATTAAACCTACAACTACCACTTCAGTGGTAGTTCTAACAATTCAACTACTAGAATTCACTAATAATTCTACTACTAAGTACACTTTCAGTGCAAAAGAAATCAGTCCATGCAAGAGATATCTGCCATCCTATGTGGACTGCAGCACTATTCACAATTGCCAAGATAAAGGATAAACTTACCTGTCCATCCACAGATGAAGGGATAAAGTAACTGTGGTGGATGTACACGAATAGAATATTCTTCAGCCAGGGGCGCCTGTAGTCCCAGCTACTCGTGAGGCTGAGGCAGGAGAATGGCGGGAACCCGGGAGGCGGAGCTTGCAGTGAGCCGAGAGAGCGCCACTGCACTCCAGCCTGGGGCACAGAGCCGAGACTCCGTCTCAAAAAAAAAAAAAAAAAAAAAAAAAAAAGAATATTCTTCAGCCAGAAAAACAGAATGAAATTTCATCATTTGGAGCCACACTGTTGAACCTGGAGGACATCATGGTAAATGACCTAAGCCAGGCAGAGAAAGAAAAACTTTGCCACATCTCACTCACGTAGAATCCAAAATAAAAGGCTTTATTGCATAGATCTAGAGAACACAATAGTGGTTACTAGATATTGGGGGGAATAGGGGGCATGGGCAGGGATCAGAAATAGGTGCAAAGTTACACTTAGATGAATGAGATGTTCCTCTCTGTTCCACAGTATAGTGACTAGAGGTTAACACAACATTATACGTTTTTCACAAAATCTGGAAAAAAAAGATTCCAAATGTTTTCACCACAAAGAAATGAACAACTGTTTGTGATAACAGAGACTCTAAATATCCTGATTTTACCATTCCTCTGTGTCTGCATTAACCAAAACGCCCCATTCTAACTTCCCCCATTGTATAACTTTACTATGTGGCCAACCTTTTGTAAAATATGTAAATACGCAAGGCTAAAATTCATATGGACCACAAAACACCCTGAATTTCCAAAGCCATCCTGAGAAATCCAAACTACATCAGTTGTGTCACACTTCCCGATTTTAAATTTCATTGAAAAGCTAAGGACCCCATTACACACAGAGCAGTGGAACAGATTAGAGGACCCCGACATAAACCTGCACCCCAAACAGCATCTGATCTTCAATAAAATCCACAAAACTAAGCTTTGGAGAAAGGACTCCCTCCTCTATGGTGCTGGGATAAATGTCTAGCCAGTTGCAGAAGAAAAACTGGCGGGCCCCTGTGTCTCATCATGTGCAGAAATTAACTCAAGATGAATGAAATATGTAAATGCAAGACCTCAAACTATGAAAAGCCTGCAAGAGAACCTAGGAAATACCCTTCTTCACAGAGGATTTGGCAGAGCATGGATATGCCTAAGTCCCCAAAAGCAAGTGCAACTAAAACAATTATTGACAAGTAGGACCTAATATACAAAAGAGCTGCTGCACAGCAGAATAAATTACCAACAGAGTAAACAGACAGCCTACACAATGGGAGAAAATGTTCCCACATGTGCACCTGATAAAGTCTAATATCAAGAATGTACCTCAAATATGTTAAGTAAATAAATCAGCAAAACAAAAACTCAGTGAAGAAAAAGGGCAAGGGGCATGAAAACACGCCATCTCAAAAGGTTTACAGCTACCAAAGGACAGGACAACATTTCCCTACCTCAGTAATCATCAGAAAAATGCAAAGCAAAAGGTCCATGAGAGAGCATTTTACATTTGTCAGAATGAAAATTATGACACAGTCCACAAGAATGAATGCCGGCGAGGCAGAGGAGGAGAGGGATGCTGGTCTGCTGTTGGTGGAAATGCAAACCAGTTCAGACACCATGGAAAGCAATGTGGGGATTTCTCAAATAACTTTCTCCACATCACTAATCCTCACAAAAATGTCCATGAAAACCACACCAAGATTCCATCTCATTCCTCTCAGAATGAATACTATCAAAAACAAACAAAACAAAATGTTTGAAGGTGACAGCCAGTATAAATTTACAGAAGGGTAACCTCTTACACGCTACTGGTGGGTTTGTAAATTAGTATATACACTATGAAAAAACAGCTAGAGGTTCCTGAAAAAATTCACAGTAGAACTACCATGTCAGCTTGCAGCCCCCACCACTGGTTCCACATTTGAAGCAGTTGAAATCCCTAGGTTGAAGAGAACTATCTGCCTTCCCGTGGGTACTAAAGCACTTGTAGCTGTGACCAAGGTACAGAACCAACCTACCTGTCCGTACACAGCTGCAGAGATGAAGAAACTGCTGTACAGATGCACCACGAAATATGTTTCAGCCACAAAGCTTTGGGAAATCCTGCCATCTGCAGCCACATAAAGAAATCTGGAGAACATCAGGTCTAAAAAATGAGCCTGGTAGAGAAAGTCCCATGCCATGTGATCGCAGGCATGTAGACTGAAAAAAGTTTTATCTCCTAGAAGTAGAAAGTTCAATAGGGGTTACCAGAGGCTGCCGGGGAGGTGGAGGGGGTCTGGGAAGGAATCAGTAATGGGTACAAACTTACTCTCAGAAAAGAGTAATCAATTCTGGTCTTCCATTCCACAGCAGGGTGACTAGCCTTAACACTGATGTATCATATGTTTCAAAGTAGCTAGAAGGAAAGATTCTGAATATTGCTACTGCTCAAAAAATATTAACTATATGAGGTATAGAGATGTTAAATAACCCGACTTTATCATTACTCAACATATACATGTATCAAAATCTTCCTTGTACCCTCTAATTATATACATTTAGTATATAGCAAATAGTGTTTTAAGAAATATAAAGAAACAATGCCAAAATTTATGCAGAAATGTGAAACACCCTGAATTTCCAAAGCTATCCTGAGAAATACAAACCATACAGGATGCATCACATTCCCTGAGTTATAATTAAATGAAAATCCCTAGTTAACCAACCCATATGTTACTGGCATACACAGAGAAACACAGACCAATAAGCAAAATGAGGACACTCAATAATAAATTTATATAGAGTGAACAAATAACAAATGAATATAGAGTGAACACATTTTTCAAAACACCACCAAAATGACACAATGGAAAAGGTTTCAAAAACTAGATATCCATATGCAAAAGAATAATACAAGACTCTTATGGTACTAAATACACAATAATTTCAACTCAAAAGGATTAATGATTATACACAAAACTTGCAACCATAAAGTTACTATAAAGACAACCTCAGGTGTGCATATACTTAGGGATGTGCATATACTCGGATGTATGCTCACTTTTTGCTCATGTATGCAAAAAGTAACAAAAATACAAGGGAAAAAAATAATTGACAATGGACTGCTTTGCTGATTTTGTTTTTCCTTGATTAGTAAACAACAGCACAGCTAACCAAGAAATTACACACATTTGGGACCACCTCAAACCAAAGAGTTTGGGCCCAACAAAGGAAACAATGAACACAATGAAAAAGTATACTAAAAATTATAAGAAAAGTTTGGGCAGGCAGAAGACAGGTGATTTCTGCATTTTCAACTGAAAATCGCCTCACCTGGGAAGCTCAAGGGGGAAGGGAATCCCTTTTCCTAGCCAGGGGAACTGAGACACACAACACCTGGAAAATCCGGTAACTCCCACCCCAATACTGCGCTCTACCAAGGATCTTAGCAAACAGGCACACCAGAAGATTATATCCCACACCTGGCCAGGAGGGGCCCACGCCCACGGAGCCTCCCTCATTGCTAGCACAGCAGTCTGCAATCTGGCAGCAAGGCAGCAGCAAGGCTGGGGGAGGGGCGCCCGCCATTGCTGAGGCTTAAGTAGATAAAGCCACTGGGAAGCTCGAACTCGATGGACCTCACAGCAGCTCAAGGAGTTCTGGCTGTCTCTGTAGACTCCACCTCTGGGGACACGGCACAGCTAAACAACAACAACAACAACAACAAAAGCAGCTGAAACCTCTGCAGACGCAAACGACTCTGTCTGACAGCTTTGAAGAGAGCAGTGGATCTCCCAACACGGAGGTTGAGATCTGAGAACGGACAGACTGCCTGCTCAAGTGGGTTGCGGACCCCTGAGTAGCCTAACTGGGAGACATCCCCCACTAGGGGCAGACTGACACCCCACACCTCACACGGTAGAGTACACCCCTGAGAGGAAGTTTCCAAAGCAAGAATCAGACAGGTACACCTGCTGTTCAGCAATATTCTATCTTCTGCAGCCTCTGCTGCTGATACCCAGGCAAACAGGGTCTGGAGTGGACTTCAAGCAATCTCCAACAGACCTACAGCTGAGGGTCCTGACTGTTAGAAGGAAAACTAACAACCAGGAAGGACACCCACACCAAAACCCCATCAGTACATCACCATCATCAAAGACCAGAGGCAGATAAAACCACAAAGATGGGGAAAAAGCAGGGCAGAAAAGCTGGAAATTCAAAAAATAAGAGCGCATCGCCCCCTGCAAAGGAACGCAGCACATCACCAGCAACGGATCAAAGCTGGACAGAGAACGACTTTGACGAGATGAGAGAAGGCGGCTCCAGTCCATCAAACTTCTCAGAACTAAAGGAGGAATTACATACCCAGCACAAAGAAACTAAAAATCTTGAAAAAAGAGTGGAAGAATTGATAACTAGAATAATTAATACAGAGAAGGCCATAAACAAATTGACAGAGATGAAAACCATGACATGAGAAATAAGTGACAAATGCACAAGCTTCAGTAACCGACTCGATCAACTGGAAGAAAGAGTATCAGCGATTGAGGATCAAATGAATGAAATGAAGCGAGAAGAGAAACCTAAAGAAAAAAGAAGAAAAAGAAATGAACAAAGCCTGCAAGAAGTATGGGACTATGTAAAAAGACCAAATCTACATCTGATTGGGGTGCCTGAAAGTAAGGGGGAAAATGGAACCAAGTTGGAAAACACTCTGCAGGATATCATCCAGGAGAACTTCTCCAACCTAGTAGGGCAGGCCAACATTCAAATTCAGGAAATACAGAGAACACCACAAAGATACTCCTCGAGAACAGCAACTCCAAGACATATAATTGCCAGATTCACCAAACTTGAAATGAAGGAAAAAATCTTAAGGGCAGCCAGACAGAAAGGTCAGGTTACCCACAAAGGGAAGCCCATCAGACTAACAGCAGATCTCTCAGCAGAAACTCTACAAGCCAGAAGACAGTGGGGGCCAATATTCACCATTCTTAAAGAAAAGAATTTTAAACACAGAATTTCATATCCAGCCAAACTAAGTTTCATAAGTGAAGGAGAAATAAAATCCTTTACAGATAAGCAAATGCTTAGAGATTTTGTCACCACCAGGCCAGCCTTACAAGAGACCCTGAAGAAAGCACT